CGTCAAAGTTGGCCAGGTTGAATCGAATGTCAAACTGTGATGCCATTTCCGGCATTTCAGGGCTTCTATTTTAATTTAATTTTTTAATTTAATTTTAATATTTACTGTGAGTCAAACGGCGTGTCTGTAGCTAGGCGCTGAATCATTCATCTAATCATTTTCTCACTGCTCTCAATTCCTCTTATCTGAGGCTGGTCAAAATGCCTCAGCTGGCTCTCCTGTTTTAGTTTGAATTGGTTTTTAGCTTTATGAATGAAACTGAATAGAAAATGTGTGATTTGGATTACAGAGCAATCCAATGAGACTTTGTAAATAATCCGCCCAGCCAGATCAGCGGGACCAGCCCACGACGGCGGGAGCTGTCAACCCAAGAGAAGAGGAAGAGAGCTGAGATAGGAGCCATGCTGGGACTTAAGGCTGCTCCTGGCTAATGTCTGGTCTAGACTCAATGGAACTCAATGGGAAATCAGAGACTCTTTGTTAACATCCAGCACATTTGAATAATGGAGGGTTGTGTCACATTTTATTACATTACATTACTGTACATTACATATGACATCACATTTATTCTCTAGGTTTTCAAAAATAAGAACGAGCTGTGAATTTTGTGAAGGTAGTAGTACGAAAATGTTTAACTTTTTTATTTATCAATAATATTGGCAGATGAGGTCCTCCATTAAGACTGCAGAGCTGTCTCGAGTTACCAGGCTATGTCAGTGCTGCCTCACCCTCCCTCCCTCCCTCCCTCCATGGCTCAATGTGGAAGGCAGCCTAAATAGACCAGGACTGCATGTTTAGGGACCAGCTGACAGAGTAGAGACCTGCTGCCACTCAGAGACATGGAGAGACTGGAGAAGGCTCTGTTCCGCCTGGAACAAGGTAGGACGACTATACACTTTATCTGCAGCATGTTAACAATACTGCACAGTCAGAGCTCAACTTTACCATAATAACACTGCTACACTCTCATATAATGCAACTGTATGCTGCTAGAGTACACTACAATAAGCACACAATATAACATGCACCAGGTTTAACCTTTAAATGTGTGGCCTTGTCAGGGACCTTCTCTCACTCTAGGCTATTTAATGCACTCAGAAAACTGAATATGTCATGAAGTCACCCTTTAACCTTTTATTTAGTCAGGAAGTTTCACTGTGTGCAAGTCTTACTATTTCAGGAATGTCCTGTTCTCACACACACACACACACACACACACACACACACACAAAATACATAATGGCGGAGCAGCATGTAACCTCTTCTTAACAGAGAGGACTACTTTGTGAGTACATTCCATTCTGAATGCAAGGCTGTAACTATGCTGAAAAGATTGGACATACATGGGGGAAGGAATGATTTAATTTACAACTGGTGTAAGTAATGGAACTTACAGTTTCATATTTTCAACATGGGAAGTTGAGTACACAGTATACCTGGCGTTCAAGTAGGATTGACAGCAAAAACAGATGTTCCCAGTTCAAAATGCTTTCTGCACTTTAATCTCCTGCCAGTAATACAAGAATGTGGTAGACAACAAAAGAACGTTGTGTAAAAAGTACTCACATAGCAGTGAATACCACTTCAGTGGGTCATTTACACAGACCCTTATTGCAAACAGAGTAAATACAACCTGCCTTGAAGGAACCATATATAGGTTCCCGTAATGTATTCTAGTGGTCCTCATTACTCCTGCTGTCTTCAGGCTTTGAGCTGCAGTTCCGTCTTGGCCCTACCCTCCAGGGTAAGGAGGTCCAGGTCTATACCAACTACCCTGCCAAAGGCCATAAGTTCGATCGCCTAAAGTTCTGTCCTTTGGACTGGGTCTACCCAAACGGCCGGGAGGATGACTCTGATAAATACTGCAGACTGGACTTAACGGTGGCTGGATCCTTCCAGTACTACTTCTCCTGTGGGTAAGTTGCTATTCATGGTTATTATATTATCATGGGACAATAAACCTACTGTACTCTGATCAAGAAAACTGCATGCCCCTGGTCTCTCAGTCATGGTTACAAGTGTGAAATCCTCAGTCATAGATTAGGGGGATTTGGGGATTGTGTTGAAGCCTACAAAACATGTATGAAATATAATTTAACAAATGTATTTCAAGGTTGTATATATAAGATTTAAAACATCAATATGGCAGCAATATATATATATATAT